TGTTTGTCACTTATCATTTTCAACACAAGTTGAACCAAATGTGCACAAAACCAGGCAAAAACAATTGAAACATAAGTTCCATGTACTTCCATCTAGCTTGACCAATATTTCAAAAAATTCCCCAAAAATTTCCCCAAAAAATGCGATTCCCCAGATCGCTCCCCAAAAATCCGCCAATTTCCCCGTTTTGGGGAAATTTCCCCAAAAGTGAGAGCCCTGGTTGTGAGGTTGACGAGTATGTATAAAGTTGAAAATTACACCGACACATCTATTTTTCAAGTGCAAGTTGTAAAATCAACTTGTTGTTTATAAATATAAAACTGGCGCATCCTAAAAGGGAATAATTTAGTGTATGCAATCTTTCGTGCTATAGCATATACTGCATGTGTCAGTACCTCCATAATGATATATACAGAACATATAGGTCATATAGCCTATATAGCTAGTACCGCGTCGTCGTGTGCGACCTTCTTATATGTAGGCTAGTGTGCTCGGTATGCTATGCCATATTAGACGGCCAACAATATTGAATCTCAGGGCAAGCGAAAACTCGAGCGAAAACGCGGATAGAGTCGTAGGATTTTTACTCGTACTAAAATTCCCTCACTGCATGAGTGCCAGTTTAATTTACAGTTTAAACATGGACGAATAGACACACATGCATGCATTGAAACATCATTTATATATACAACTTACATGGCTTATAATTATATTTATTTGTATTTTTGTCGTTTTAATTGAGCGAAAGGTTTATATTATCACACGCTAAAGGTTTTTTATCCATCGCCGTTTATAGTTATAACACATTTCGTGTGAGAAAGGATCAATATTAAAGAACAGTCTGTATTAAAGTGATGCTAAATACCAACTACGAACGAGAATTGAAAATTATCGTTTTGCACTTCAAGAGTAGCTAAGTCGGTAAAAACAAGGAAGCCAATCAACTGTTGTTACTTTAATATTTTGATTGTCATGTTTTCAACAACAAACAAAGATGGGCCATTCAATATTCTCAACAAATAACAATTCTAGGTTTGATTTCTATTTTTCGGGCAAATATTTATTACTTTGAGACTGATTTCTGCGAGGATTTCTGTTCGTTATTAGTAGCTATCGGTCAGAAAGGCACGTTTTACGCAATAATTATTGCAGCAATACTTTCACACCCCCGGTATTTTTTTCCGAATTTTTAACAAATTAAGAATTTTTAGTGTTCCGGTGTTCCGTGTTCCGGAATGAGGCTGTTCCGGTGTTCCGTGTTCCGGTGTTCCGTTGTTCCGGTGTTCCTGGTTTTACTAATAGCCGTATTTTTATGATTCTTGTGTGTACGAGTATGTTTTGCAAAATAATCTTTCAAAGTAAGACGTTTTCCCGACTGCATGATTTACTTTCGCCTCGGCCGGTTACAAAACTCAAAAGCCGTGTCGAAGTTAGCCTGCATGGCAGGCGGTACTTAGGAAATACCGCCTGCCGCAAAACTGGGTGTAAATGAACTACCGCCCCTGGAGCATCAACGCTATTTATAGATGCATTAATTAAGTAAATATTCAAAATTAGCCACTCCCAAGCTGCTCCCAAGTCCCAACTGCCCAACATAAAATAAATTCCTTGATTCTCATCACCGCCCAACTGAATTTTAAAATCCTCGTGAAAACGTTTTATATTTCGTTATACAATATAAATGTACCGCCCGACAAAATAATTCAAGATAGTTAATTTTTTTATATTTTATATAGAGTTTTTATTGCCATTTTAAACTTCCAATTTGAAACAAACAGAATTTTGAATGAAATTTCTTTGTATTTTAAAGAAACTCAGTCATTCTGTCATTGTTCGTGGAGATACGAACTATTGATATATAAATTATATAAATATAAAATATAAAAAATAAATCTCCCACTGTCTTTGACATTTCAAAGTGTAGACTGTGTCTAGTGATGAGAATCAAAGAATTTATTTTATGTGTTAATATAAACCAAGCTCGTTGAGCTGCCTTAAAACGGTGGTTTAATAAGCTCAAAATACAAAGTATACTATAGATTCATCATCAGTCAACAACCAAACTGAAAGTATTGAACCTTATAGAACGATAGTTTTTATTTGTTTGCAACTATACATATTCAACGGGTATATAAGAGTTTAACTGTTATTTGATAATTACTGCATCAACCGGCCCCTTGTTTATACTTTGGAGGTTCGTATATAATATCTATCAAGTATCTTTGGTTCAGAACATGATGATAGGCCTATATGGAAATCCCACTGTTCGATTCAGTGAAGAAATATCTCCTAATTTCTATCGATAGTTTTAGTAAAATGTCAACATTATTGCGATTTATGGCCTTTGAAAAGTCAAGCGAGATAGTATATTATCAAATTAATACGCATGTAATTGTCTGAACGAAAATATAGACTAGCCCATACCTTTTGCCGATCATAACTTCGGCCCCTTCGGACGCATCTTCTTTGTTAAATATTCTTGTTCGAATCTCTATCAAAAACACTATTTAGAGTGTTATTTTTCAGCTTGTATCTTTTAATTTGCTTCTTTTATTATGTTATTCCATTTCTGGTCTGACTTGACGTGAACTAATTTCAAAACGCAGAGTTTCAAAACGTCAAAACATTTGGTTAATGATTAACATTTAACCGAATTTAGCCGTTGATTGACAACTACATAAAAATACTAACCAATCCGTTTTTCCCGTTCACCAGCGGACGGGTAATTGTAGCCTGCGCGGCAGGCGGTATTTCTACAGGCAGCGAAAATTAGGTCCTAAGTACCGCCTGCCATGCAGGCTAGGGTAATTCAAAAACCCCTAGTTTTGCGGCAGACGGTATTTCCTTTGCCTCCCTAATTTTCGCTGCCTGTAGAAATACCGCCTGCCGCGCAGGCTATGTCGAAGTGAGTTGTAATGTTTCCTGACAAAACAAGAAACGTCTACTATTATTTAAGCTGTAGTTTTCCTTGTACAGTAATCAGTATTTATTAGTGCAGATGTCTGATGAAATACTATACGCGTATTACATTGTAGTAATATTTTAATTTACAATATTCTGTACTGACAAATAAAAGCAAGACAAAAAATTAAATGAAACTACTAAATTAATTTAGGCCCTGTTTACAGGTACCGTCCAAAGGAAACTATACATTTTTTCGAGCGAGATTCGAGCGAGTTTCGAGAATGTTCGAGCGAGAAGCGCGACGCGAAAGCTTGCGAGGGGCGCTATCGCGACCTCTCGCTCGTTAAGGCCGTTTTCCACTAGGCGAATTTTTTCGCGCGACGCGAAGCGAAAACCGAAATCCGGCAACGTGATTGGTCGGCGAAAAAATTCGCGGCGAAAAAGTAGGATCGCTTCCTACTTTTTATCTGTTCGCGCGAATAAATTCGCCTAGTGGAAAACGGCCTTTACGCGTAATGACTCGCTCGAATAATCTGTTTACTGCTTTCGCGTAATCGCGAATCGCGCTTCGCGCTACGCGAATCGCGCTCGATAAAGGTTATGTTAAAGGCCCATACACACCGGACGCGATTTGGCAACGCGACGTTTCAGTTTTCAATGACATTTAACTTTAATATTTTTCAATGTTTCTTAAATATTCGGAACCGAATCGAATCGCGTCCGGTGTGTCTAGAAAGAGCGAAAACTTCATGGCAGCGAACATATGCCTGAATGGAAGTCTCACCTTGTTTTTACTAAACGATTTAGGCACGAGATATTGTTTTAAGACGCCATGGTTTTAAGTTTTATTTAGTTGTCTCGCAGCTCTATCGGTACATAATTATTCACAGATTTTAACCTTAGCGAAGCGTCGAAAATGAATTGCGTTAATTAAATCTTTCAATATTTCAGACCCCATTTACATGGTACCGGACGAATTTCAGTATTTTCCAACTTTAGGAAATACAAAACAAAACCTGAATAGTATAACATCTTAGTTGTGCTCTCAAGATTTGAGTTAGGACAAGAATACAAGACATGCGGTAGCATGGAGTTTTGACAATGATTTTGAAATAAAATTGAAATATTGCTGCACTGTATATCGTGTATTCTTGTTGATAACTCAGATATTGAGAGCACAAGACGCTACTATTCGGAGTTTGTTTTGCAATAGAATTACTAACTACCCAAACGTCTATGAAGACTGCGAATTGAAACGAGACGATTAAAAACGCATATGCGAGATCTTGTGTTTCGTTGAATGTAAATGCAAAATTCTTTGTTTAGCGTAACTTGAAAGTCTGCCCATTGTAAAACTTCAAAATTAGAAACTATTTCTACTTCTTTACGTGGCTTTAACCTGAGAGCTTGTTCGGTTGTGTGGCGGTTTAGGATTGATAATAGAGAGTTTGAGCAAGACAACGAAGTCGGACGACGACGACGTGGTTGACAATTTTTGCCTGTCTTGCACATTACCTTGTGCATTCTGAGTTTAGGGTCAGGAGTGAAGACAGATTAGAGATTTATGCCTAGCTGTTTGTGAATGATGACCCAAATCCTTACCCTGATCAGGATAAAACAGCGAGACATGAATCAAAATATCCCGTCTTCGTCTTCTGCCTTCGTTCACAACGAATACTTTCGCAAATTTCGTTGTGAAACTCGTTCTGCACGAAGGCAGAAGGACAAAGACGGGATATAGTTTCATGTCTCGCTGTTTTTTTCTGGATAAGGGCAAGACTTATGGTCAGTATTCATAAACAGCGACACATGGGAAGATACGTTGTGCAACCACCAGTGACGTCCAACTCGGTATGCGCAAGATAATGGACATACGGCAAAAATTGTCAAGTATGCCTTCGTCTTCGTACTTCGTTGTCTTGCTCAAACTCTCTATTGTTGTCACACACACACAGTAAGGTTTAGTGTTACATTTTGGCATAGTACAAAACATGGACTGGACTGGACTGGACTGGACGGTTGGACTGGACTGGACAGCTGGACTGGACTGGACAGCTGGACTGGACAGTTGGACTGGACTCGACAGTTGGACTGGACTGGACTGTTGGACTGGTCTGATTTTTACATTTTCTCTATTCTTGACTTGCACGTCACCCGCCATGTCAGATGGCATGGCACAAAAGAATATTTTATCACAGAATAGGTATACCATGTCATGTCTATTTTGTGATTTTATCGATCGGAACATTGTCTGGTGTGTACCAGGAGGAGATTGGTTGCAAGTCAAGAATATAACGTTTTGCACCTGAATTACTTTTGATTTTCGGAAATTGAAATATTTTACCTTCGCCGATGACCTCACTTTATAACTGGAGTGAAATCTCAGTAAGAAACCCCAGTAAGTAGAAGAGAATACAATACCAGACATAAACTACTTATCTGTCTTTGCTATGGGTAGCCTGCTCGCATACGTATTAAATTTCGATATTTCAGTCTGCATGGCCATGGGCGTAGGAAGATCGGTATTTTTGGGGGGCTCATATTCATATATTCATAAAGCAATCAATTTCAAAAGAAGTAAATGATGCAGAACACGAATATATGAATATGAGCCCCCAAAATATCGATCTTCCTACGCCCATGGCCATGCAGACTGAACTATCGAAATTTAATACGTATGCGAGCAGGCTACCCATAGCAAAGACAGATAGGTAGTTTATGTTTGGTATTGTATTCTATTCTATTCTACCTACTGGGGTTTCTTTCGCTTTAAGAGATTTCACTCCAGTTATAAAGTGAGGTCACCGGCGAAGGTAAAGTATTTCAATTTCCGAAAATCAATTCCGAAAGTAATTCAGGTGCAAAACGTTATATTAATGACTTGCAACCAATCTCCTCCTGGTATACACCAGACAATGTTCATCGATAAAATCACAAAATAGACATGGTATATCTATTGTGATAAATATTCTTTTGTGCCATGCTACCTGACATGGCGGGTGACGTGCAAGTCAAGAATAGAGAAAATCAAAAATCAGTCCAGTCCAACTGTCCAGTCCAGCCCAATCCAACTGTCCAGTCCAGTCCAACTGTCCAGTCCAGTCCAACTGTCCAGTCCAACTGTCCAGTCCAGTCCAGTCCATGTTTTGTACAATGCCTTACATTTTCGCCATTTGCATGCCGGTTTTGAAATGCAAATTAACCGGATGAAATATGCATATGCGTTCGTATTTACTTGTGATAGCTCTGTAGGAAACATGCGAAATGACAGAAAGAAACTACGGTTACGGTATGAGTACATTAATTTGCTGTTTAATCAATGGGATGATAAGACTGGTATAGCAGTTTAAAAGAACAAAGTATGAGATAGAATTTATTTAAACACGCTGACCCCGTCAACCGAAGCTGATTTCCACAAGGGGCGTGCGAAAAGTATACAGAAAAGAATTTTAAAACTATTTACAAAATTATATAAGATATATAGTATTATATGAACTAACAAACTAAGGTATTAATCTATATACAGGTAATATTAACATCTATGTTAATTAGCTATCAATCAATGTGAGTAGTGATTATCTTTCGAAAGGAAGAAAAGGATTTGCTCTCTCTTATTTCTTTAGGAATAGAATTCCAAAGGTGTGCTCCGTCATACACGAAACTTTTTTTCATATTATTAGTACGTGGTTGTGGTAAACAAAGACTACTTGAAATGTTCCGAAGTTTGTAGTTTGTCACCTCACCCTTATATGTGAAGAGATTACTGAGTGATTTGGGTCCCATTTTATTCAATAATTTGTACATGATTTTTGCTTTACTTTTCTTCCTTTCTGTTTTAAGTGGCTTCCAACCCAATGCTTGCAATGCAACAGAGTGATCTATGTCATTGCTCATATTCAAAATAATCCGAGCAGCTCTGTTTTGTAGTTTTTGGAGTCTTTTTGATTGCGTTTCTCCAAACACATCCCATACTTCACAGCAGTAATCAAAATATGGGCGAACAATAGCATTATATACAGAAAGAAGTGTTTGCTTATCAGCAAATTCTTTTAAACGCCTAAGAGCCGATATTCCAGATGTAATTTTCTTGCAAATATTCTCAGTGTTAGTTTTCCAAGATAAATGCTGGTCAATTGTCACTCCAAGAGTTTTGAATTCATAATTGACTCGTTTTCAATTTTCACATTTAGTTGCAAATTTGAAATATTTTTTATCATTTGTTTTGAACCAATTGACATAAACTCAGTCTTAGCAACATTTAGACTAAGTTTATTTGCAATTAGCCATTTCCTAAGTTTTTCCAAATCAGAATTCACTGCAGTTTCAAGATCAGTAATAGAGTCTCCAGAAACTGTCAGGTTCGTATCGTCAGCGAACAACCGAGGTTTCGTTTTATCCAGGCATTGAGGCAAATCGTTAATATATAACAGAAAAAATAGGGGCCCTAAAATAGAGCCTTGTGGTACACCACATTTGATCAATTTCTCTGATGAAACAGATCCTTGTATTTGGCATTTTTGGTTTCTATTTGAGAGATATGATTCTAGAAAAGACAGAGCTTGTCCTTTTATTCCATAAAGCTCTAATTTTTTCAATAATATTTGATGGTCGACAGTATCAAATGCTTTTTTTAAGTCAATTAAGACTACCAGGTTAAACGTTTTGCGGTCTAAATTCATATACCAATCATTTGTACAGTCAAGTAATGCTGTAGCTGTAGAGTGAAATTTACGAAAACCGAATTGACAGTCACTCAGAAGGTCAAATTTGGTTAAATAATTGTATAGCTGATCGTACAGAATTCGTTCCATAATTTTGCTAATGACAGGCAGAACTGAAATTGGTCTGTAATTTCCTGGCAGGTTTCGTTGGCCATTTTTATGGAGAGGTATTACTCTAGCCGTTTTCCATTCATGAGGGAAAAGGGATAGGATAATAGCTTGATTGAAAATATATGTGAGTGAATCTGAAATAGCAGGTGCAGCTATTTTAATAATTTTACTGGAGATCTTATCAACGCCGGTGGCTTTGTTGCTAGAAAGACCATGTAAAAGATGGTAGACATTGCTGACAGTGACTGGCTGGAATGCACTGAATTCTGATTTAGCCTTTTCAATATATGTTTGAAAGTTCGAATTTGGAGTATCAATTTTGCTAGCTAGATCAGGGCCAATATTTGAAAAATAATTATTAAAGCCCTCCGCAATATCTTTGGTATTTGTCAAACTATTTTCACCTAATTTTAACTCATTTACTACTGTTGGTTTGCTTTGCCTACCTAGTATATCGTTTATAGTTTTCCAAGCCTCTTTAGGGTTGCATTTTTGATCAGAAATTTTAATGGAGTAATAATTTTTTTTACCATTTCTTAGCTGAATATTAACTTTGTTTCTCGTTGTTTTGTAATTTAACCAGTCTATCTCTAGGTTTGTAATAATGGCCTTTCTTTTTAATCTGTCCCTTGTGATTATAAGTTGCTTTATAGGAAACAAGGAACTTTTTTGTTCTAATCTTTTTATGTTGAAGTGGTGCATGGTTATCCAAGACCTCTACGAATAATTTCTTCCAAATTTCCCACATAGCGTTAGGATCTTCAGCGAAGAAGTATACATTTTCCCAGGGTTGTTGCCTCAGATCCTCAACAAATTTTTGATGATCAAATTTTTTCATATTTCTTATCTCAACTTTCTTCTCTTGTTTTTTAACAACAGAAATTTTCCTTATTGCAAATACCAAACTATGGTCACTTAATCCAGTATGGATAACACCAGAGTCAGAAATTTTCTCTGTTGTATTGGTGACTATATGATCAATAAGACTAGAGGTTGTCATAGTTACTCGGGTAGCTTCATCAATCAATTGTGACAATTGATACAACTCATACAATGTTTTGATTTTCTTTGTTGGAGAATTTGAATCTTTGTCTGTTTTAAGCATATCACAGTTTAGATCACCCAGAATATACATTTCTTTATTTTCATCATCAATGGCTTTAATTAATTTTTCA